AGCTTCCACGCTATGGAAAGTCACTGAAAGCTTGGGCAAGGGTTTCAGTTTGGTTCATTAACTCTTTAGGCTGTTAGGAGGAGGTGTTCCCTCTCTCATCCACTCTGTGCACTTTGGAAAAACATCTATCAAGCATTAGTGTCTGCTACCATGCCCATGAGGGATACACTGCTTAATGGATGTGAATAAGTAAGGAGCTTAAATTGTCAATCTGGAACCAGAAAAACGAGAGATGAGAGCTAGGTGCAGGCTGCAATTCAAAACAAGGACACGCGCATTCTGCCAAAAACCCTCTGCTCTCCCTTTCTTGGGAGATCATGTGTCTGACACTTTCTGCCACCTTTACCAACCATGCCTCTAGCCCAAAAGTAGCATCGGAACAGAAGTGACTGCCTTGGGGAAGAGAAATCATCATCCACTGTCTACCTTGAGACTTCTTTTTTATGGTTTTCTGTGCCTTCAGAAAAGAAGTGTTTAACAGAAAAAAAATCTGTCCTGTGTCAGTTTGGCCATGTAAGACCTCAGGGTCTGCTACAAGTCAGCCAGCTGGATTTCCTCAATTCATTTTAGGATGGGACAAATGACATTCCAGAGATAAATATCTGTCTCCATCATCTAAAGAGGAAACCCCACAGAACAGACTTTAGTCTGAACTTGGAACTACCAAGTTCCAGGTAGCTGACTTGAGATGAATCCCAGCTGTAAGATCAATTCTGCTATTGATTAACGGGGTCAGAGAGTTTCCTTCTGTTCTCGTCACAGGTCCGCCGTGAAAGCAATCTTAAATTTGGAAAAGCAATGTCTAACATTAGCACAGTCTGGAGCAGCAAAGCAGCAGCAGAGATTGCTTGGGTGCACCATGACTTCAGACGAGAAATCCTCCGACAACCAAAGGTCACATCATAGAAGAGGTTCAGATTTTAATACCGCCTGCATCTGACAAAGCGGCAAATATTCCTTCTGGCTCCAGATCAGGGAATCTTTGGGCAAAAGCTCAATTACATCATACACACCGTGGGGCAGGGACCATCATCTTGCATTGTGACAAAAATGCCTTCACCAACCAAAAGGACATCACTGCTTCTACTGCTTCTGTCTCCATTTCCTAGGAATTTGTTCTTCTTACCTTTATTTTAAACTTTGTGGATCCCGAAGCATTCTTCCTAATGCTTTGTTCTTCTGAATCAAGTACTAATCAAATACCGAGCAACTTCATCTAGTTGATGATGTCCCTGCTCACTGCAGGGGGGTTAGACTAGATGACCTTTAAAGGTCCCTTCCAACCCAAAGATTCTGTGATTCTAATCCATACAGCAATTCAAAATCAGACATATACCAAATTAGTTTTCCTCTTCTACATGGCTAAGAGCTTAGAGACCCACAAATCTATATACAGACTAGGACTTCGCTTAATGGAAATGATTTCAAGGGTTGGATATTCCTGATGTGAAGAAATCTTCCCCCATGAAAGGCTAACATTTTAATAGCTGCACAGACTCCTTCCTTTGAACTCCCGTCTTTCATCTCCCCCATTTAATCATTTCATTTGAGCTGGGCATCAGTCCATGGCTATTGCTGGTTTTTATCCTTTCCCAAGAGTGGGACTGCACACTGCTGCTGATGCAGACCTTGGCTTTCCTTGCCCAGGCCATCATCCTCCCTCCTCCCAGCCCTCCCCAGTCCTCCTGAAGCCACCACAGGACCTGGCGTCAGAGATCCCGGCTCTTCTGACTAACTCAGGTGTGGCAGCAATGAGCTCAGCTACGGCTCCACCCAGCCCTCCCGGCCTGAGAAAATTTAGAGAGTACAAGGCTCCCATTCACAGCAAAAACTTCTGTGAGGATAGAACGTGCCTTTAATGAAGGCCTGCAGCTTTTCTAGATGGCCTCCTCCCACCACCTAGCCCAAGGGTGCTGTCTTCCTATCATAATCGATGAGATTATGTATCCGATAATTCTATGTACAAGATATGCACTGACAGAGCAAGGACATAGCATTGTTAGGCAGCTGGTTTTGTTTTCTCCAAAGATCTATGCATTGGTGGCAAATGCCCCTGGGAACAGACTCTAGTGTCTCCACAAGAACCCTACAATGAATGTGTGGGGGAAGGATTCCCATATGCCCGTGGTGGACAGGGTGGGTTGCAGTATGGAAGCTGTGAAGGGATGCCCATGTCCCCTTCTCAACAGGTATGAAGAGGAGATCAACAAGCGCACGACTGCAGAGAATGACTTTGTTTTGCTCGAGAAGGTGAGGCTCCAACAACAAAGAAGGGACACACTTTTTAAAGGCAAAATGCATTTGAATGCAAATAACCCTTTTTACCTGTCAGTGCCAAGCTGGGCAAAGCACTTAGCAAACGTGTAGTCATCCCTCCTTGAAGCAGAAACACCCAATTGTGCCAGTGTGTCAGTCCTTGGCAATAGCTCGTTCTTGTTTCAGACCCCTCATCCAAAATTCAGGTGAGTCCTGGTCCCCCAGGTAGGAGATCAGATCTGGGTCATCCATTCCTTGTAGTCAGTTCACTGGGTGCTCTGCCACTTCTGCAGCCTTCCTGTATCCAATCCCACCCTCCACAGCCCCCCTAGGTCCCACCTGCAGGAGACACAATTAAAACTGCCACCACTTCAAGCATTGTCCAAAATATCTCTCGGTGCACTGGCAAAAAAGAGGAAATTCAGTGGCTTTTGACATGTCAAAAATTGCTTAGATCTATGGACATCACCCCTCGCCCCCCAAAAAAGGTGGAGGGAATGAACCAGTTCACTCCTGGCTCTGTTTAAAGGCACAGAGGACAAGAAAGTCTTTGGTTGTGGTTTGTCTGCAAAGGTTCGTATTAAATGACAACTTTGTACAACGATGCAGACAGGCAAGGTTTGGTTCACTACCTCTGTTGTCATGGTGCCAGGATGCGGATACTGCCTACGTGAACAAGGTGGACCTGGGGACCAAGGTGGATGCACTGACAGATGAGATTAACTTCCTGCGAGCCCTCTACAAAGCAGTAAGAATCTCCTAAATTTCTCAGTTCTGCTATTTCCCCATTTTCCTGTACCAACAGGATCAAACTGGCCTGAGAGTGCTGTTCAGAGCTGCACGTCCTCCCCATTCCTACCCCTCTACCTCACATCATCCTGGGACAAGTACAACAGTGAAACATTTGGGGCTGAAAACAAATTTGTTTGACTTACAGCAGCTGTCTCAGATGCAGTCACAGATCTCTGACACCTCCATGGTCCTGTCCATGGACAACAACCGAAACCTGGACCTGAACAGCATCATTGCAGACGTCAAAGCACAGTACGAGGACATCGCTAACCGGAGGCAGAGGCCGAGTCTTGGTACCAGAGCAAGGTGAGGATGTGAAAGTTAACCAGGTGAGCTGGGAAAATTTTTGTTTAGCATTTCCCAAAGGCTATTTTATACATGAAAGTGCAAGCAGAGGGGACAGGGGAGTAGGGTGTAACATCAAGTCGATTTGGATAGGATTTAATTTAGTTTCTCGAACATGTGAAAATGCCATTTTGACAATGAGATAGAGGAACATAAGGAGATCGAGGGAGGAAGGAAATATGCTAAAGCTCATGACAAAGAACTTGGATTCAGTACAGAAAGAGACAGAAGACCCGGTCAAGAGAGGATCAGAGCAAGGTCAATCATACCAATGAGTTCAAGCTCCTGCTCAAATTGACTGTTCCCCGGTGTCTCATCTCCCTGACCATCTCAGTACGAGGAGGTACAGCTCGCAGCTGGCCGGCATGGGGATGACCTCCACAACACAAGATGGAGATCTCAGAGATTAATCGCATGATCCAGCGGCTCCACTCAGAAATCGATAGCGTAAAGAAACAGGTATGGCACACAGGACCCCTCCAAACATGGGGGCACCTCCATCTGCACTACCTTGCTGTACCCTTGCAAGGATGCCTGGAAATCAGGGTCCAAACCCACGGAGCAGTCAGCAGACCTATTTCCACTTGTTGCAGTGCGCCAGTTTGCAGATGGCCATTGCAGACACTGAGCAGCGCGGGGAGGTGGCCCTCAAGGATGCCAGGGCAAAACTGGCTGGCCCGGAAAATGCTCTGCAGAAAGCCAAGGCAGACCTGGCCCATCAGCTCCGCGAGAACCAGGAGCTCGTGAACGTCAAGCTGGCCCTGGACATCGAGATCGCGATCTACAGGAAGCTGCTGGAGGGCGAGGAGAGCAGGTGGGTGACTCCTGCTGCAAACCAAATAATGTCCAAACCCATAGATCTTTTCATATTTGCCTTGCAACAAGAGAGGGAAGGGCCACAAAAACTTGCAGAGAAAATACACCCCTATGCTTTCAGTTACAGGTATTATTTCAATTCCTGTCGGACTCTCATCAGACCTTAACACCCCAGACCTTCCTGTTATCCAATGTCCCTGGTGCCAAACTGTCACTTGAAATTGTCCTAAATAACAAACCCTTCCTTCTCCGTCCTCTCTTTCTTCCAGACTGGCTGGAGAAGGCATTGGCGCAGTGAATATTTGTGAGTAATCTGGCTCTTCAACAATAGATTGAGTATTCATTGAGTTATTCCTTAAATGTACCTGGAACTGAGGATAAGACAATGAAAATGAGCTATGCAGCTAGTAGTTACCAGCACAAAAATGGGAGTATACTTAGGGGTTTGCAGCGCTCTGTGGGACTGGGGAGGCCAAAGAGCCCGATACATCTTTCCTCTGACGAGCTCTGAGCTTGAAAGGTTTTGTACACTGAGACTGTCCTTAGGAGACTCAGATGTCCAGAACCACCCCTGCTACAGCATAGGAAGAAAAGCCAGAGAATAAGATGTGTGAAATAGAGGCAGTGGTAGACTATCCAAGAAAAACCATGAATGTGTGAAACTAAAGGCTGAAATTCCTTCATACTATTCCAAACAAACTAACCTGCCCATGGTTTCCCATCGCAGCTGTGGTCTCATCTGGGAGCAGCTATGGAGGTGGGAACATGCTGGGGCTGGGGTCAGGCTCAGCATGGGGGGGAAGCGGTGCCAGCTCCAGCAGCGGGGGCTGCCTGGCCGCGAGGTTCAGCTCTGGCACAGGCAGCAGCTCAAGCATGAGGTTTGTGTTGAAAGCCACCACCAAGAAGAGTTATTGGAGCTAAGCCATGGCGGCAACCAGCTCATCCAGAGCAGAAGAGGTTGCACATCACCTCCTGCTGCCAGCACTAAGTCTATTAACACCATTCAAAGAGCCCCACTTACCACTTTCACATTAGGAGAAAACATATTCCCGGCTCTACTTACTGGCTTGGGAGAGATACCTCTCCAAGTCCCATTAATTCCTCTGCATAAAGCCTCACCCAGATGACCAGAAGCCTAGCACTGCTTGTCAATGAGTAATGAGCCTTCCAATTAATGGGTGCCATCGTTGGAGCTCACCTTGCAGCTTCCCAGGGCTCCCCCTTTTGCTCCAGTGCCCTGGTGCAAATCCAGAGCAGATGCAGGACTTGGATTTATACCAGCGTATGCGAAAGCAGAATGCATCCCTTCACCTGCTTACGACAGAAAGCGGGAGGTGCGTCGAGACCACAGTCTCTTGTGCTCCCTCCTAATCAAGCCTGCTCCCCACTGCCGGGCTTGCGCTCCCCAAAGGCTTGAAGAATTGAAAACAAAGCACCTTTCAATATAGAGGCAGTTGCTCCGTTTCCCTATTCCTCTTGCATTGCTGTCATTTCACTCCAGGGCTCTCCAGCTCTACCTACATCCAAAAACGCAGCCTTCATTTTCCATAGGTGGAAGGGGTTGGCTCTCTATAATAATTCCTCATCACCCACATAACCTACAGGTTGCCAGACCTTGTCTCAGCAGCAAACCATTCTCCTTTCCACCAGCCGGAGTGAGCTTAAAGTAGAGACAGGGGTTAAAAATACAGGAAAAGCAAAAAGGAGGAACAGCAGGCTTTGGTAACATAAATTTTACATAACCTGGAAAAACAGCTCTGGTTTAGTGCCTTTGTTCTCAGCTCATGGTTTGGTTTTTTTTTTTTTCTTTCCCCCTTCTCTTTTTATGGAAGTGGGAGGGAGGCAAAGAGGAGGGTAGAAGAATTATGTGCCAAAATGTAACTAGCTCATTTCCTTTCATCTTCTGCTCCTGTTGAACTGTGGGAGTTTTTACAAAATTTCTTCAATAAACTGCAATCCAACTTAGCATGACCAATGTGGGGTTTCTGCACCATTACGAAATTCAACTAAAAGTGTAATTCTAGAATAAGGTTATAAGGTTTGCCATAGGCACTTGCTGCCACTCAGAGCCTTCCCATATCCTCCTCCTCCCCGCCTCAGTCCAGAGAGGAGGGGGAACATTAAATACATGGGAGACGGGTCACACAGTAGCGATACCCAAGCACTTTGGGAGGTTTTCCAAGTTGCACAGCCAACAGAGCAAGACCAGAAGGTGGGGCTGGTTTCACCTGGCCATAAACACCTACCTCTGAGCCAGTCAAAGGACAGAAACACACTTTTGGGTCAAATGATTTGTTCCCCAGTAACACCTCCCTCCCTGTGTGGGACCGAAAGCACTCTAGGCAGTTGGCTGAAGATGTCTGCATTGCAGGAGCACTCCAAAAGGTGTTTTAAAGTTAGGAAAGATGGATCCACACATCAGAGCTAAACTTCTGGAAAGGCTGGTTCCAGACCTGCAGCTTGTGCAGGGAAACAAGAGGGTTTTATCTCCAAGCCCTCTCCAAAAGCAGCCAACAGAACTGTCAGGCCACGTGTTAAACAAGGATGCCATCCCAGGGCAGTGAGATGCTCCTGAGCTGAGGTTTTTGTTGGGTCAGCAGATCGAAGCCAGGCTGGCTCAGACAAGCTGGCGGTACTGAGCTCTGCTCAGGTCTGTAATTAAAAACCCAAGAGAGAGAAAGCAAGAAGAGAAGCCAACATGACTTCCTCCATTTCATGGGAGATGCCAACTATCACATGTAGCAGCTGTTTTCCAGCAGCCAGGGCTCAATCACGAAAGATGCTGAGCTCTCTGAACTCCTTTTAGGCTGACTCCCAAGAAGTGCTTAGCACATACAACTCCTACACAGCTTTACCCTAAAATGTTGTGCGGCTAAATAAGGCAGGCCAGCTTTCAGGCTTGCATGCATGAACTTCCCTCTGCTCCTCTTCATGGAACAGAACATGCTCTCAGGCCATGGTGAATGCCAAGAAAATCACATAAAAGCAAATGTACCTTTAGAAAAGGCTGAGATTTTCAGGGCTAAGCCCTCAGTGTTATCGCACTGGCAGCAAGAGTATTAAGAAGGTTCCCACCCATGGCACACAGCTTTTTTTATATTTTAGCAAGATGGGACTGAAAATCACCTATTTAATTTTCTAGGAAAGACTTATCTGTCTTTCCTGCGTGTCTTTGTCACTCTGAACACAACCCTTTTGCTGAAAAAAAAATTATCTATTAATGTTAATATGGATATAAAAATCCATATATTACAAACTTACACTCATAGGGATTGGCCAAGCAATTTCACCAGAAAGGAATGACCAAGCCCAGTTCTGCTGTAAGCTGTTCCCCACAGACGACAATTCTGCAAGCAACAAAATGAGAGGTGTCAATCTGTCTGACCAGTGTCAGTCACACTCCCCCCAAAACTAGGGAAAACTGTAACAGAGCCCCTCTTCAGGGCATTCAGCGGAGGAGAGAAGCACAGGGGTAGCCCGAGACAGGACCGCAAATCGGACTGAATTTCTCTTTGCAGGCTCAGTGCACTCACTCCGCCATCACCTCCATCTATTCGACCTCTGGCTTTGGATTTCCCCAGCTGCTGCCAAGGTCTGAGCTGGAAAATCTCTCACAGCTTCCTCCTGCTCTCACAGCTGTTTTCTGCCTCCAGTTAGAGGCCAGCAGAGCCCTAGCACCGAGAAATAGGCTTGCACAGGTCCATCTCCGATCCCGAGAGAATTAGAAGATTGTTCTCTTGAGGCCAACAAAATTACAGAGGTCAAACAAAAGAAAGAAAGGAGTAAATTATAGAATTAGGCTTACAAAAGGAGCAACTCTGGCCAAAGGCTAATGTAATATCAAACCAAATCAGCCCCAGTGTTTGGATCCCTAGAGTATTCCCAAGAGTTTGACTCCAATTCTTCTTTTCCCACATGTAAAACAAAGCAACGCTCCTTCCCTCACTCCCAGTGCCCTGCAAACATCAAAAGATTGGTTCTGCTTCTCTCTTTCATGCTTACTATAAAAAAAGGGAGGTTTGCAAATGCAGTTTTTATGGGACCAGGGTTTCCCTCCCACTCAAATTAGAAATGCAGCCTGTAACTCAACAATAGGTGTGCGCTTAAAAGCGACCCACGAGTTCTACTTTTTCCCCCCCCGGTTCTCTCCCCATCCTGCTGCGGCGGGGAGGGCGAGCGGACGGCTGGGTGGTTGTTTTAGCTACTGCCAGGTTAAACCACAACAGCGGCTCAGGTCACTATTCGGCAAAAGAGATGAGTGGGACATTACCAAACAACCTAAGCTCATAAACATCTTTAAAAATGGTCTTTTGGGGCTGCTTGTGCAGCCAAACCTGTTGCATAAGGTTTTATGTCCTGGGACATAAAAAGGTGAAAAAGGTGAAAGCTCTGCTTCTCATTGCAGAGGGTTTCTGGACAGACAGGACAGTGCGTTGCCTCCTGCTCTCGTGTTCGGCTTCTCCCTCCGCCTTCATTCCCCTTCGAGCTGGTCTCGACATCTTGCCAAGCCTGCCAAGGAGTTGGAGGCGTGAGGAGTTTCAGCTCTTGCTCTGCTGTCGCCCCAAGACGTGTGAAGAGATGCACTGCCAGCACCGTCTCGTGCAGGGGTGGTGGTGCCTCGGGGTGCCCTGGGCTGGGATGCTTCGGCAGCAGAAGCCTCAGTGACGATGCAGGCTGCAAGCCCAAGCTAGTGACCAACAACTGTCACCCGCTGAGCTACAGCCACAGCCCCTCAAGCATGGGGTTGGGCTGTGAAGGTGCTGCTTTGGCTGCAGGGTTGGCAGAGCCCTGGGGGTCTGCGCACCCATTGCTAAAGTCACGGTCAACGAGCATCTGCTCCGCTGCTCAAGGTGGAGATGGACCTAAACCTTCCGTCTGTGAAGTACCAGGAAAAGGAGCCCATCAAGAGCCTCAATAACAAATCTGCATTTTTCATTGACAAGGCAAGAGAAAAGATGCCCGGCTCAATGGCCGCTGGAGCTGCAGGGCTGAAACAAGCTGCCGTGTGGCACATCCGAGACAAGGAATGCATTTGCCAAACTGCTTAATAGCAACAGCAGCCAAAACTCACAGCCTGACTTTGCAGTGAAGACCTGTTTGGGTTTTATGAGGAGGACATTTTGCACCACCTTAGAGTAAAAAGGGCCTTCAGTGGGGGCAAGAAGGTATTTTCATGCTCCAAGAGTGGTGTAAAGCAGTCGACTTCATGCAGAAGAGAATCAAGCTTTGCTGTTACGTGCGGAGAAGCTGGTTGTCTCATATCGCTTGAACTCTAACTTCAGCAGAATTACCTCTGACTTACCCCACTGTACTCTGGTGCCAAGGCTAAATCTGTGCTTTTCACAGAACTACAACCAAGACATTTTTCTGAACAACCTACTTATGAGAAGATGCTGTTTGTCAGATTTTAAATGCATGCCTTCTCCATTCACCTGATACTATCCTGAATAACTCACAGATTTTCTCTCAGTTTGCCGATTTCTGGGCCTGTAATTCCTCACTTCTGTGTCACCAGTATAACAAATTGCTATGCTTCGAGTGCTCTACTTCTGGGTTCCAGGTCCAATTCCTGGAGCAACAGACCAAGGTGCTGGAGACCAAATGGGGATTTTTACAGAAACTAAAGTTTTACAGGAGCAACACTAAGCCAATGTTTGAAACTTATACTGGCAACTTGAAGAGGCAGCTGGGTGTTCTGGGAAGCAAAAGAGCCAAGCTGGAAACAGAACTGAGCAACATGCAGGATATCGTGGAAGATTACAAGAACCAGTAAGTTTAAAAAAAGATAAAAACTCTTAATCTAGGGCTAGAATTGATCTCATCTAATTTTTGGATGCCAAAGGCAGTGCAAGATGCAAGATCTCCCCAAGATGTAGATTGTATGACTTGCATCAGCAGTTGGTTTCCATGCTGAGGTTGAGCATTTGGAGGTGGTAGAGGAAGATTACACTCATATTCTTGCTTAAGCTGAATAACAAGTAGCAAAAGTGATCTTTTTTCTTCTTCTTGCAGGTATGAAGAGCAAGCCCACTGGCAAACATGTGCAGAGAATGAGTTTGTCATGCTCAAAAAGATAAATGCATTTCAAACCAACTCAAACACTGATTCCAGGATTTTAGTATGAGCAGCAGCCAATATTGCTGGAAAGAGCGGGTGAGACTGCCTCTCTTCAGGGAGTCTAGAGGGACCAACTTTTGGGAAGATTTAATTAGAAGGGTTGAATCCCACCTTAAGAGAGTCAATTTTAGCTGAGCTTGGTCCTTTGGGATGTTTGTATACTCCAGCTGGTCAAAACCTTTCCTTCTCTATTCTGTGTCTAGTGACTTTTTGTCTTCTGCCTAAGAGGATAAAAGTGAAACAATTTAGTAACATGGCAAAATTTATGTGCTTGAAAAGAGCAGCCCTAAGAGTTTGTAATCTCATCACTTGCTGGCATTAAGCAGATTGTTCTTTCATTTCATAAACCTTGACATGCTTCAGGACACGGATTGCACCGACGTGAACCAAGCTGAGCTTGAAGCCAAGGTGGAGTCCCTCATCCAAGAGATCAACTGCCTGAGGAGACTTCATGAAGTGGTACTGGCTCTTCCTTTTCGCTCCCTTTTCCTCCCCGCCCCTGCCTCTTTAGGCGGGCTGTGGAGTTAGGTTCCCGGAACTCATTGCTTCAGTTCATGGAGATTTTCGGTGCTTCATGTGTACATCAGTTTGTTGCCCTGGATTTCAAAGGTGTTCCTCTTGCACTACACAGGTGAGATCGCAAGGAATCTGTTTCAAATGAGGTAGGATCCAGATGAAGGATTTCAAATGAAGGTAGAATCCAGAGAGATTAAACCAGAAAACCCCTCTTTGGGTTTTCTGCAGTGAGCCTGAAATCGTGGTACGTGGAGCACACTGTGTCACCGTGTCTCCACGTCGTGGAGATCTGCAGGGAAAGCACCTCCAGTGCAGATGATCGATAATCTTGCTGTTGCCCCTAGGAAATCACGCAGCTCCAAGCATCCGTATCAGACACCTCTGTTACTATGCAAATGGACAACAGCTGAGGCCTGGGCATGGATGACATCATAATCGATGTCAAAGCTCAATATGACAACATTACCAAAAAAAGCCGGGCTGATGCAGAAACCTGATACTACAGCAAGGTGAGTCATGATGGACACTCAGAAAAGTATTTATCCCCCACTTCTGCTAACGGCCATGCTTCTTCAGAGTTCCTAATTTGAGAACGGGCTTTTTAAAGATCTGTTTTCTCAGCCACCTGCTGTGTTTTCCCTATGTGTGATACACCCTCTGTCAATGCCTTCACACACAGAGCTGCTACTGTGTAAATGAGTCATTCGTGTCCCCCAGTGACAAAGGTTTTTGCATTAAAGCTCAAGATCTGGGACTGTGGCCCCAGAATCACATAGTAGGTTTAACTACTGACTCATCTCCTCACTCTGGTATTTGTTTTCTCTCTCCTCAGTATGAGGAACTGAGAGAAACCACTGGCAAACATGACGACAGGCTTGCATAACACAAAGAATGAAATTGTGGAGCTGAATTGGGTGATCCAGAGACTAACTGGAGAATGTGAAAAGACCAAAGCCCAGGTAAGGATGACTCAGGGTAAATAATGTGTCAATCGCAATTCCCAGGTTGTGGTTTTCCAAAGCTCTTGCACTAGAGCAAGGGAGCAATAAAGCCAGTTTTGATGAAATACATGTCAGCGGCTCAACTCTAAGACTTGCCTGTAATCAAGAGTACAGAGTAAAATGGTCTATTACAACTAATAACTGAACCACCATCAGTGAGAAGACAACACGTACACCAAAGTCTCAGCTAGGCAGAGAGAATCATCCTAGAATTAGAGGTTTACCTGTAGAGTTTGAAAATATAACAAAGTGCAGGTGGATGAGTACACAGGCAGATTCAAGAGCTCTGAAGTATTCAAAGCACATGCAAATAAGCGGCAGTAATGAAAATCTCCTACCTGCAGAGATGCAAACTGGAAGGAGCCATTGCTGAAGCTGAGGAGCACTGGGAAGTGGTTGTCAAGGATGCAAAGGGCAAACTTTTCGAGCTGGAGGCATCCCTGCAGAAGGCGAAGCAGGACATGGCCCGTGAGTACGAGGAAGTCACGAATGTCAAGCTGGCCCTGGACGTTTAGATCACAACCTGCAGGAAGCTGCCAGGTGGAAAGGAGGCGGGTGCTTGTACAACCCAGCAAGGAAGAAATAGTAACACATTGTCCTGGCTTCAGCCAGGATAGAGTTAATTTTCTTCATGGAAGCTAGTGTGAGGCTGTGTTTTGGATCTGGGATAAGAAAATGTTGATAATGTGCTGATGTTTTGAGTTGCTGCTGAGCAAAGACAGTCCAGCTTCTCGTGCTGGGCTGTTAGCAAGAAGGCTGGAGGTGCACGGGGAGCTGGGAGGGGACACAGCCAGGAGAGCTGACCCAGGCTCTGTAATTACTCTGTAATTGCAGTAAATCCCACTGAGACCTGATGTCCTAGGGGGTGACACTTTCCAAAGCACTTTCCAGCATTTGTGGACCCAAATGCCCTACAAAGTCAAAAGCTCCTAATGCACTCAGGCACTTAGATTTTCCCCAGGTGGAAGACCTTGCGTGAATAAGGACAACGTCTTGTGTAGCCTCAGGTCTTATCAAGCCAGAAGCTCAGCCACAGTCGTGCCTGGCCACCTTTGCCACCCCAACCAAAATGACTGGGTACCTATTCACACACGGGTTAATTGAGGGGACAGAGGGAAAGCCCTTGGCCAGGACTTGCTCACACTTACACAGACAGCCAAAGAGAAACCCTTCCCCTCTTTGGGAATGACACGGACTCAGGAAAACTTCCTCACAGGCATGAGCTGAGCAGTCGAGTCATGGTAGGTCTAAAGCACTTCCTTGGCCTGCCGGCAGCTTCCCACATCCCCAAACCTCCCAATTATTGGCCAGTTATAGGGACACACACTAAATAAAGACTTTGGTTTTTTACACATCTCCATTTTCCCCACTCCCCTAAGGTGCACAGGCGGTGGCAGCCCTGTGAATATTTGTAAGCACCAGACAAACCCCTATTCCTACCAGTCCCCCAGGATCTACTCTGTAGGATGGAAATCCTGAGCTGAAATGTTTTCTTTGCAGCTGTGTGCCAATCCTGAGGAGGAATCACATGCGACACTGACCCATGCTTTGGTGGCAGCTACTCTTCCAGCAGCAGATCTCTATTCAGAAGCAGAGGTCTAGTGCTTGGAGGAAGTCTCCACAGCAAAAGCATCATCACTGGCTCTGGAGACATCTGTGCTTCTTGTACCACCATGGGAGGATACAGTGCTGTGAGCAGGAAGAGCTCCGATGTCCAACTTGTGTCCTCTACAATCACCCAATAGGTCAAGATACTAAAAAACCCAACCCAAGGATTCAAAAGGAGGGTCCTCACTCCAGCCAGTCCATACCAGCAGCAGCTTGCTAGCAGCACATACAGAAAACACAGGGAGGGTTTTAAAGCTTTCAGTCCAGTTCGCATTTGCTTATTCCCTGCAGCATTCGCTACTGTTATGAAACTTGCTCCTTTCGTTACCTTATGCTGTAGGTTTACAAATTGGCTCTTCCCAAAGTTTACCGGTTCCTCCTGGGTTGCACAGGTCTAGCAAAGCCTGGGCAGCAATGCTATTTTAACTAGTAGCGCATAGTTAGCACAGCATATGTTTTAAGGAACCACTTGCCTGGGAAGATACCTGGGTTAAAAACAGTGTGTGATAGAAGTTTCTGCTCCTCCAGTGTATGGGCATGATTGCAAAGAAAAGTTAATAACCAAAGGGAGCAGAGGAGTCTTACCTAGATCATCATATTCCTCTGCAAAGCTTGTTGTTTGCCTTTACCTTGTCTTTTTCTTTATTTCTCCTCAATAAAACTGACACAGCAAATCCAAGATCACATGATATAGCTCCTCTTTTCAGAGTTGCAAAACAGACATTAACAAGACAATTAAAAAAACCCACCCCAAACTCGAATCAAGGCTGAGGCAGTCTCTCAGTAGAGCCTGCAAGAGATCCACTGGCTTTTGGAAAATACAGGGTGCAGAGCCGGTCCATAGGAACAGGGAGGGAGGTGAGGAGAGGGTCAGAGTACGTCTCCCGCACCATACTCCTCACTCAGTAAACATCATACACCTGACCTAATCCCCTAAAACCAGGAAGGAAGAGGGAGGGAAACTCCCTGGGGGCTGAAAATCACTGTGGTATGACAGACCTGCTAAAAGTGGCTACAGCCAGACTGCGTGAAGGCACCTGGGGTGCGAGTGATCACAAGAACAGGAGCAAAACCAAGGGGTGTTTTCCTGTTCTGAAGCCTGTGGTAGGCTGGAAAAAGCGGAATTCTCCCATCCAAATGTTTTTTTCTGAATCAAACCCCTTTTTAAAAAAATTGAAATTCTTCCATTAAAAAAAAAAAATAGCACCAAAACATCTTACTCCAAACATACTCAATGGGCTTTGAACTATTTGGTTTAATTGAGCTAGCCCAAAACATTTTGGGTTTTTTTGGCATCAGTTCAACAACATATTCAACTGTCTTTCCCTGTTGCACTGGAGAACCTGTAGCTTTATCCACTGTCCCTCTCTCCTCTGGGGTCAGGCCCCCTGCGAGACCAGCCTCCTGCAGCCCCTGTCCTCAGACTTCTGTCCAAAAGTGCTCTACAGCTGCATTTGGTGTTACGTGTCTCATCAAAAGCAGAAGGTGTTACCTGGGGTGACAACGCGGAGACAAGAGAAGAAGCCACAGGCCCATAAAGTACAACTACAGTCTGGAGCAACGTGGTCTGACACGAGGACTGAGGACAATCACAAGATTAACTCTAGATCTTCTCATGCCCCACCTCCCTAAGGACGTCTGTGAGCCCTGGAGCCGAGGTGTCCAAGAGCTCCAGATCCCTACAGCAAAGCTGGTAATTTTGGCTTGCAATTGTAACCAACCACCGAATAGGGAAGGGGAAAGAAATGCAGTAAACAAAACAAAATCATTAGTTTGAAACTTCCACCCTGCCCCTACAAAACATGCCGCCCTCCCACACAGCGACGCGGGCACCGACGCTATCCCTGTCCTTCCAAGGTCCCGGACACGCACACATGTGAACAGCAAAGCCAGGAGGAGTCCGAGCCCCGACACCGCAATGAGGGCATTCACCCAACGTAGGAGGCAAAGGACCAAGCCTGGCCCTGCCCCAAACCAGGTGGGGAACCCCTTCTTCAAGGTGAGGGATGAGGGGAGGAGGAGATGCCAGTTCTCTGAGGATTTGGCCAATGAGAGTGTCTGCAAAAGCTACCGTGTTCCAAGCACCGGTTCCAATTTCAACTAATCAGCAATTCCCCCCAAATAAATTACCATGTTGGAAAACACTCGTATCAACAACCTGCAGAAAAATCACCTTAAGAAATAGATTTGGCCCCACAGATGTTCTCCTGGCATTAAAACACACTGCCCTTTTATATGCAGAACCAACAAAACATGGGCATTTACCACTAATCTGCCTGCAAGACTTCGTTCATTCTCAGTAAATTCACATTTATTAGTGATAGTTTTTATTAAACAGAAGGTTGAATCACCTTTTCCTTCAAAGCTCTTACTTGCAAGCAGAGGTACCAGCAAAACATAAAGATCTCCTTTGACAGAAAGGTATTTTACATTTTCAAAGGCTCAGTCCCACTTCGTTCAACCTACAAAAACGGCGAATGCGTAATTTTTACCATGTCTCCTGAAAACAATTCACCCAGCACAACTCCCCTTATTTTTATTGCTATTACACAAGATCTAAATATGACCCCTCTGACTTAACAGCATTCTTCAAACCTTTATGGGGCAAATATGCTGTTGCTTTCTCGGATGGTAAACGGGGAAAATATGCTGCTGCTTTCTCTGTCGGTAAGCACAACATATGCTAAGTGGTTCACATTCTTTGCATCATAAACATTTTGTGGAAGTTTCATGCAGCCTCGCCCTGTTTTCCACGCAAATAAAAGGAAGAAGGTGCTCCACTGTGGTCAGAGGGAACTGCACCCTGGAATCTGCTCCCAGCACATCGCCTGTGCCAGCCATCCCTCTCCCACCAGCAACCATGTCCTGCTGCTCCTACAGCATCAGCTCCGGCCATGCCATCAGGAATTTCAGCTCTTCTTCTGCAGCTCTTCCCAGGAATCGATGTAGTTTCAGCACTGCATTGTGTCACTGGGGTGGGGGCAGGGGCTACTGCGGTTTGGGTTACTTCAGCAGCAGAAGTCTTGATGGCATAGCATTCTCCAGGCCCAGAATAGCTGTTGGAAGATGTCCTCCTCCAAGAAGTGGATATGGCTTTGGTGCAGCTGGCACACGGTTCAGCTACAGAGGTGCTGGATTTGGCTACAGGGTTGGTGGAGTCTCCAGGCCATGCACCATCACACCCATCACCATCAACAAGCAACTGCTCCAACCGCTCAGACTGGAACTCGATCCCAACATGCAAACGGTGAAATACCAAGAGAAGGAGCAGATCAAGACCCTCAACAACAAATTTGCTTCTTTCATTGACAAGGTGAGCTGAGAACCCCTCCCCAGCTCCAGTTTGCAGGCACTAGAGCCCAGGTGAGGTGTCTAGCATGAAAAAGTCATGGAATCCTTGTAAGACAACTCATATTAGACATTGAGGGCAACTTGCACAAGGGATCCAGCTGAGCACCAGGGCGTTTGTGAACCATATAGGCTTACTGCCATTGGGGAAGCTTTACTGTACAGGCGCTATTGCTCTGATCCCTAGGCCTGACTACAGGAAGGGAACAAACTAAAACCAGTTTCATCAGCCTTCCAGTTCCTTCCCATTCCTCTCCCCATATCCCCAATTATCACAAATCTCTCCTTTCCAGAGGTGCTTCGTTCTTTTGTTTATTTCCACATGGGCGGCCCAGAACAAAAGTACACTGGATTAGGAAATGCCGCATTCACGTGTACCAAGAGCAGGAACACATTTCACTGCTGTTGCACCGACACTGGCTCTCACGAGTTCTTAGTCCTCGTCTTGTTTCCTATTTTGCTTTCTGGGATTCAGGTTCGATTCCTGGAACAGCAGAATAAGGTGCTGGAGACCAAGTGGAGCTTTCTGCAGGGTCAAAACCACTGCAAGAATACCATCATGCCCATGTTAGAGGCTTATATTGGTAACTTGAAGAAGCAGCTGGAAACACTGGGGTGCAACAGAGCCCAGTTAGAAACAGATCTGAAAGCAGCACAGAAGGTTCTGGAAACCAACAAGAAAATGTAAGTAAAAAAACAATGAAATATGGGTGCAGCGATGCTCGTGTGGTTTGAGATTTGTAAACAGGCAGAGACAGTGAACTTTTCGTGGTAGTAAACAGTCCTCAGAGAACTAGTAGGTAGATGGAGAGATCTACCAAGATCTCAGTATATAAAATAAGGTCAAATTTAGAGAGAGATGGAGGAAACAGGGATGTCCCTCTTCCAGGTTCTCTTTGTCTCCTTCCTAATTCAAGGAATTAACATTTAGAAAGGTTCAAGTTGCAAAGGTCAAATGAAAACAGTTCTGTGGCAAACTTGTAAAGACGCAGAAACCTCTCTGAAAATATGTTTACTTTCCCATGGGCTATGAAACAAGACCGAAGCATCCCAAAACACTGTTTGTGAAGAAGGAAAAAAATTAGCAGTTTCACTTCTTGAAAGAAGGCCTGCAGAAACCCCAACAAAGATGTAATTGCACTCAACTCAAATAAAATCTCCCGTTTCCCCACGCAGGTACAAGGACGAATGCAGCCAGCAGACGTGCACCGGGAGTGAGTTTATTGCCCTGAAGAAGGTAAGCAAGGGGCTGTTTGAACTCTCCTCTCCAGGTTCAGGTCTTTGGGGTGCACGTGGTGATTTACTTCCCAAAACCAGCACACAAAACAAGTACAAGCAGGAGCTGGTGCTTGGGTTTGCTTGAACTCAAATCAGCAGCAACTGTGTAATTGGGAGCTGGCGCACAGTCACAGTACCGGCACTGAAAGTCCCTCACCCCAAGGGTAGCCCTGAGTTTGCTCTCACTAACAAACTTCCTTCTTCTATCCCCAACGCGTCTCCAGGACGTGGACTGTTTTTTCTTAAACAAAGCAGAGCTGGAGGCCAAGGTGGAAAGCCTGAAAGAAGAGGTTGAATTCCTGAGAATGTTCTACGACGAGGTAAGAAGCCTCCCTATTGCTCCAGCCACCGTTAGCATTTCTCAGATGGATTTTGAAGTTGCTTATCCCAAAGGACAGGGGAAGAGGCGATAACACAGGGCGGTGGTCATTGCTTGCGGTGAACAGTGAGACTCAGCAATTCATCTCTGCTTGGTCACCACAAAGGGGGACCGAGTTGCACAATGCGGGTGACACACCAGCTTGGGGTTGGACTTGGAGCACAGCAGGACCAGCATCTCTTGGACCAGCTCAAACCAACCCCATGTCGCCACCAGGAAATCCACCAGCTGCGGGCCCAGATCTTAGATACATCGGTGGTTGTGCAGATGGACAACAGCCAGGATGTCGACTTGAATGGCGTCATTGCAGACGTCAAGGCTCAGTATGAGGACGTTGCCCACAGGAGCTGGGCAGAAGCGCAGGCCTGGTATGAAAGCAAGGTGAGAAAACCTGGCAAGAGGGAGGGTGTGGGTGCAGTTTCTCTCTTCTGACCAACTTCAAACCCAGAGAAACAATCCCCACACTCCTGATTTGCTCTGATTTAACTGAAAGCATGTGTTTTGGGGATATGCAACAATGTCGTTTGGGCTTTTTTAGTTTCAGGAGCTGCAAGTCACTGCAGGCAGAAACGCTGACAGTCTGCGAGACACAAAAAACAAGATAGCTGAGCTGACACGGATAATCCAGAGACTGAACGGAGAAGTCAGGAGCGCCAAGGACCAGGTGAGCACAGCCAGGTCTAGTTGTTTCAGCAGGGCAGAGAATGAATTGCTGCTCCTGCAAGCTCCCACAACTAAATTAAATTGTGCTGTAGCACCTTGCAAAGGGTGTTCATGAGCTGGCTACTCTGCTGCTCCAACTAGGGCTTCATTAAAGCCCAACTCATGCAGTACCTGAAGGCAGATGTGATTACAGCACCCCATCCCCTGAGAGTAACACAAGGGAGCACTGAGACTGCATGTCCAGCTCCCCAAACACGCACCAGAGGGGACTGACTGCGTGTCCATCTTACTGCTGGGCTGAATGCACAACCAGACTACAAACCCATCTCTTGATAATGCATTATGTTTGAAGACAGCCAGAGACAGCTAAGACTGACCACGTCTTGCTCCTTGCAGTGCTGCAAGCTGGAAGCCGCCATGGCCAATGCTGAGCAGCGTGGGGAAATGACCATCAAGGATGCAAAACACAAACTCTCCGAGCTGGAGACAGCCCTCCAGCAGACCAAGGCAAACCTGACCCGTCAGCTCCGCGAGTACCAAGAGCTCACGAACGTCAAGCTGGCCCTGGACATCGAGATCGTCACATACAGGAAGCTGCTGGAGGGAGAAGAGAGCAGGTGAGTGCCAGACCCTAGCAGGGCTGCACAAGCTGCTTCAGATGCATGTGTTGAAAGGAAAAATAACTGTATAGTGCTATTTCAGAGCTGCCATGCTGCACATCAACCACACAGTTCTTTCCATCAGCCCTAAACCACCTCCATTGTGCAAACACACCAAAACAGCCAGTCCTGCTACCTCCAAAGAGTGAGAGACAGCCTAGAGAGGGTCAGGCTCACATTTGAAGCTAACAGGCTTTGCATTTGAAGATAGATTGATAATGTGCAACCTCTTCCCATTCTTTACAGGCTCTGTGCAGAAGGCAGCTTCCCCATCAATATCTGTAAGTTGGAGTTCTACCGTTCAACTTCTACCAAACTCAGGCATCTTCTGCCTTTTCTCCAGGGAATGCCCTAAGCCGAAACTCAGCTTTGCTCTGCCTTTTGCAGCTGTCTGCCATTTGCAGGGAGGTCTCCCCTGTGGCCCAGAGCCTGGCTTTGCAAGCACCCATGCATCAGCCAACAGAAACTCGTGCTGGACCAGCAGTGGGGGGGTCTGCGGCACAGCAGTGAGCTGCAGCGACCGTGTTAGCGCCGGAAGCTCTCACATGAAGGTGGTGTCCATGATGAAATCAGCCAGGAGCAACATGTAAAAAGCTGTAGATAAATGGCAAGGCTGGAAACAAAGCAACACGCATACCCTTCTGCATACTCTTCTACACACAGCAGCAGCCATGCCAGACCTGGATCATGTACATCCAGCTCCCCGAGGCTGCACACCCATTTTCCGTGCATGGGGATACAAAAGGCAAAGAGGTGTTTTCTATGCTCAAGAGTTTTTCTACTTCTGCTAGGGAATCTAGGAGCAAGAAGGGCTAAAATGCTCCTCATCACTCCTATTATGCAGTTAAAACAAGATGCCTTTGGTGTAGTTCCCTGGTCTTTCCACTCACACAGATTTCAAGGATTAAATTGAAGTGTGAGGGAGGGCTCCTTTTATCTAAGAGCATTTTCATTAGGGCTTTATCCAGCCCCGCTGTCTTAGCAGCTCCCATCCTGGGTCAATCTAGTTTTATCAGCCAGCCTTTTAGATTACACATACACCCCTGGCATGAGCAGAACTCAACCAAAATTGCCTAACTTGCAGTTTCCCTGCACACTGTTTCAATTTCATTGATTATTTGCCCCAAAGGACAGATTTCAAGGGCTGTTGCTGTTTGAAGGCAGTTTGCTCATGTACTTGCATTACCTGTTTTGAAAGTGATCCTCAACTTTCCTTTTACTTCTGGGTTTTTAACAGTCTGGCTCATCTGTTGCCATAAATGCTGTCATAATTGAAGAGTCTGGGGGCCAGAGTCCATTGTCAGGTATGAAGGGGACTGGTCCATTGACGTATCTGGGCCTAGGGCACAAAGCTCCTCTGTGATCTTGTTCAAGGGATCCAAACCCAACCTTAAACACATGGGACCAGCATCAATTGCCTTCCCAGTTGTTCAGTACCTAGCACGCTGAACTGCCAGTGTAAGTGCATTAACCCTGTTTGGGAAGAAAAAGAGGAAGCAGGGATTTCCTTCTAATGACCTTATATTTTGTCAGCAGCTTTCATCCTAGCTTTAGTCTCGCATATCCAATAAATTGAATTAGCAACTCAGTTATCTTCATTCGACGCTTTCATTTGGGGAAAAGAGGGTTAATTCTTGTCTCTGCTTCAGGATTTCAAATGATAAAGCTTACAGGGGTCTAAACCAGGCACAGGCCAAGCCCTCCACTCACTGAGAGCTCTTCCTTCCTCACCCAGGCAACGCACCTCAATGGTCTTCCATAATCCCCAAGACATCTATTCTCCATGCACATGAACAGCTATGCAAGGAGAAGGGTTATCACCTCTCTCCAGAGCACCACTGAGCTGAAAGTACAATTCTCTCTTCTTCCTCACACCTGCACACGAGGAGCAGGATCCATTCCACCCAGTGCTGAGTGTTTATGGCACTGCAGCTGGCTGCAGCAAGGCAGCAGGGACAGGCGCTTCCCGGGTTAGATGTCTTCATTAGGGCAGGGTGGAGCCCCAAATGATTTTTCCCCCCAGGAAAAACAAACAAACAAAAACATTTAGAGGGCACTGACTAAGCAAAGATGCTCTAGCAATTTGCATAAAACTAACTGAAACTTTCTATCACTGATTGCTAAATCCCCTTAAAGCCATCACCGATTCCCTTGAGTTGCCTGGGAATGTCTCAAAGCCAGATAGCAGAGGCTGCTGGACGGTTTAGGTGCCCTTGTCCTTCCTCTCATCCTAGCACCAGACCAGGTCGTGCTCAGCTCATTGCAGTGACACCCCAGGCAAAGCAGACCCAACTCCCAGCCTATACTACATACCTCTTCCCAGGCTGTGGCTGCTCCAGTGCAGGAGCACAAAGTGCTCCAGCATCTCCAGCAAGAGACTGGAAGACCTCTTTTTCCTCTCTACTCTATGGGGTGTTGCCCTTTATAACTTCATCAAGCGAATTAGGCTTCCCATCAAGCTAATTAGGCTTCCTAGGTGGAAGTCTTCCCAGGATAGGAGTCACCTCCCCCCCACCTTGCTCCTCCCTGCCCAGTGGGAGCTGGGGACTCAGCCCAGCCCATACTGGTTATGTGCCATTTAATTCCTTTTAAACACAAGATGAAAATCTCAATCAACCTCAGAGCAGGGGTTTGGCCTTGGTAGTTGCTGAAAAACTGATGGGAACTGAAGCAAATGCAGCTTTAACCCTGGGGAACTGAAGCAAGGTCCCCAGCATTTGCAGCCTTCTCCTCAGGCCCAGTTGCATCTGAGTCCTCACTCATCCTCTGCCTCAGTTTCCCTATAAAGAACAGGGAAACTTACCCCCGTTGTAAAACCCTCTGACCTCTGTGGACAGGCCGTGTTGCCAGTGACCTCAGCCCTGCTATTACAACAACACGTGTCCAACCTCGCAT